CCTAGGCAGGAAACCCTACACTACTTCAGACAAATGGTTATTCAATCTCTTCTTAACGACTTCCAGAGTCTCTTCCTGGAGGCAAGGTGTTCCACTGATTAATTGTTCTCACTGTCAGGAAATTTCTCCTCAGTTCTAAGTTGCTTCTCTCCTTGATTAGTTTCCACCCATTCCTTCTTGTTCTACCCTCAGGTGCCTTGGAGAATAGCTTGACTCCCTCTTCTTTGTGGCAGCCCCTGAGATATTGGAAGACTGCTATCATGTCTCCCCTGGTCCTTGTTTTCATTAAACTAGACATACCCAGTTCCTGCAACCCTTCTTCATATGTTTTAGTCTCCAGTCCCCTAATCCTCTTTCTTGCTTTTCTCTGCACTCTTTCTAGAGTCTCCACATCTTTTTTACATTGTGGCAACCAAAACTGGATGTCATATTCCAAGTAGTTTTGGTCGCCACAATGTAAAAAAGATGTGGAGACTCTAGAAAGAGTGCAGAGAAGAGCAACAAAGATGATTATAGTACAGCTAGTCCTCAACATACGCCATTTAGTATAGTATAGTCTTTATTGTCATTATAAAATAAATACAATGAAATTGGCCAAAAAAATCATTTGCCATGATGATTGTAAAATGTGTCAATCACATAACCCAATCTGATATTACAATGGTTTTTGTGACGGTAATTAAGCAAACGTGGTTGTAAGTGCAAGCATCTCAGTTGTAAGTCTCAATAAAGGAAAATATTGGTAGCTCAGGATTGAAATGAGGGCTTCTTGGGGCTATCCGAGCTTGCTTGTTTTCTTGCAGACATTTCACTACCCAACTAGGTAACACCATCAGGACGTGTTGTAAGGGTGAACCATTATAAGTAGTCGTCGACTTACAACAGTTCGTTTAGTGACCATTCAAAGTTACAATGACACTGAAAAAGGTGACTTTTCCCACTTGCAAGCGTTGTCGCACCCCCAATGATATATGATCAAAATTCAGACGCTTGGCAATTGACTCATATTTATGACGGTTGTAGTGTCCCGGGGTCATGTGATCCCCTTTTGCGACCTTCTGACAAGCAAAGTCAATTGGGAAGCCAGATTCACTTAACAACAGTCTGATGAATTTAACAACTACAATGATTCCCTTAACAACTATGTCAAGAAAGGTCATAAAATGGGGCAAACTCGCTTAAACGTCTCCCTTAGCAACATAAATTTTGGGCTCAGTTATGGTTGTAAGTCGAGGACTACCTGTATTTGCTATGGGTGTGGTTTTGCCAAAAACCAGGTGCCGGTTTTCAGCAAAACTGTTGTAAAATGTGACCGGTTGTAAGTTGAGGACTACCTGTCAGCATATTTTTCCCTTGTGTTGAAAGGATAGTTGAGTGGGTGGGACATTCTGAAGACAATTCAAGCATCTAAATAGCTACAGAAAGTAGAAAAAAATATTAAACTGATCCCAAACTCTTTTAAGACTTTAAAAATCTACAAAATGTTGACACCAGCCGGAAAAATACTCAAAGCAGTGACATTTTGTAGTCAGAGAATCCAATCCCAGTTAGCAATCAAGTACAGTAGTTCTATTTTAGGCTAACTGAGGTTTCATCAGTCATCAAAGATAGTAGAAAAAAACGCATTGCAAAGTTTGATTTTTTTTTTTCTATCCTGGATTTACCCTTGATTTTAAATAAATGATTCCGAGATGACTTAGAAAGAAATCATCTACCCACTGTCTCTTATGTTTATGCACAACCCCCGCTGTTTTTGGGTGGAGATTTGGCAAAGGGGGTGATAAAACTGTAATTCTGGGCCAATTGGGGGCACAGGGATTAGAAGGGGTTTCTTTGTTTGTCAAACGATGTAGTTTCTTTCTTTTTCCCCCAGTCTCAGGGAGTAATCGAATTCTGCATGACTTCATAAACGTAACATACAGTTATTACTGTTCTGCAGTGGGCACAACTTCTCTGTGTGATTGTGCGGCATGGCTGTTTTGAAACTGAAGTGGCTTGCAAGATTCCTGTAGATGTTCTTGAACGCCTTCTTGTCTTTCATTTTTTGGCCCACCACAGAAATCTGAAATAAATCTCTTAATAATAGCTGGAGAAATCTGAAATAAATCTCTTAATAATAGCTGCAGATATATTACATGAATATTTAACTTGATATGAATATATGGAATGATAGAAAAAGATGGCATCTGTAAGTCTAAACTGAAGGAAAACTCCTTTTCTTAAACAGGACTGAACATGGAACTTGAAGATATAGCAAAAATAAAGCGTAAGTACCTTTTTTTCTTGTGGAGTTTAGCCAAAATAATCCGATACGGGTAGTCCTCGCTTAACACCCACTCATTCAGCAACTGTTCAAAGATACGACGATACTAAACAAGGGAGACTTACAACAGGCCCCCATGATTATGGCTCTTGCAGTGTTCACAGTGTCATGTGATTGTGACTGAGGCACAATTGTGATACCAGAGTGTTCTGCAGTCATGATCATCACTTCCGATCTTCACTACCAAATTCTAACAAGTGGTCAATGGGGAAGCCTGCAGGAAGTCACAGATGCTGGTCATGTGACTGCAGGAGACTGCAACCACCTAGGATTCACCTAACAATGGCAACTGGAACTGCCAGAACCTCTGTCGTAAGTCAGTGCGGTCATATGACATTGTACCGTATGATCACATGGCTTAGGGATGTAGTTCCCTGCCCCGGTTACCATCGGTAAGGGAAGACAACCTGTTCCAAACTTTGAGCAGTGTTCAGTTTTTGATTTGACCATTTTAGGATTTGATTGTGTGAAAGTTTGAGCTACATGTAGTTTAAAATGAAGTTGTAAACCTAGCAGAATCATTTAGATAAGAAGGGCAGCATTAGCCACAAGAAATCAGGAGCCAGGGTTAGGTCCAAAATGAACACAAAATGAGTTTATTCCATGCTACCTCTAAATAAGAATCTGAACTAAGTGTTGTGGTCTGCCACCAGCCAGCAGAGCTGGCAACAGATTCGGAGAGTGAGGAGGTTGGGGAGGAACATGGGCCAGTCTTGGAGTCTGGGGAAGGCTCTGAGGAGGGCTCTGTGTTGGAGGCAGAGGGGGCCAGAGCTGTATGCCAGTTATCAGCTGCCTTCAGAGTCTGAGATCAGTGAGCAGAAGAACAGCTGGAGCCTGTTCCCAGTGTGCACATGAGCAGAGTTGCCAGACAAAGGGAACTGCTAAGGAACAAGGGTCGACTTGGGAGTAAGGCCACAGGTGGACAGTGAATGGCCCCTCCCAGGGGGAATAAAAGAGGAGTGAAAGAGGGGTGGAGTTTGCAGGAGACCATTCGTTCATTCCTGCATTCTTGCCACGTAATGCAGCATCTGAAAGATATTGGCCTGTCCGCTCTCCAAGCCTGAGAAAGGTCGGTAATTGTGAACTATCTTGAAAGACTTTGGGAGAGGAAAGGCTTTGCTGGAAAGGAATTCACTGTAAATTAAATAAAAGGGGTTTATTGGGATGAGGACTTGGCTTCGTGCTGCTGGGGAAGCCTCGGTCAGAACACTAATAGGCGGTTCAAGGCAAGTTGGTGGTAGATTAAGAGTCAACGGAATTGAAGGAGGACTGGACTTGGATCTCTTGTGGACAAGAAGGGACTCCGAACTGATGACGAGCTTGACCCTCCCCCCCCAGGTCAGCATCCATCGGTAACCAAATTAAATTTTAACCCCTTTTCCTTTATGTGCCTTAAAGGGATTCTCCTGCAGCTAGAAAGTGCTATTGACGATGTAAAATTCTTACCAAATAAAAACGGATTCACGGCAGATGGAAGGTATGTTTCAATTTTAAAAACAAAAACAAATCTCTTCCAACTTGGTCTTACTGTAATCTTTTGTTTTTGCATGCTTCTCTTTTGGCCCGCTTGTTCCAACCACAACCGGGACCCGAAAATTCCTCATTAAGCAAGGCCTCACGACCTTTTTTTGCTTCAGTCGTTAAGTGCATCACTACGTTTGATAGGCAAGATGTCATGTGATTGCAATTCCCCAGCCATCTTCCGTGCATCTCCACTCGCGCAAGAGAGAAGATAAGCCTATCTCTCGGGTGGCCTGGTTCCAAATAGATAGTGGCCCCGGGGTTGTGGACCCCCTGATCTAGAATTTGATGTGGAACCTTGCAGTCATATTGAGGGGAGGATACTCTGCCCCATAGTACTAAGTACCTTTGATGCTAAGGCCTAAGAGAAATCAGAGAACTCAGGGTAAAGAATAGCCACAATACTGAGAGCGATATAAAGCAGGGGTACATTCCTTCCCAGCTGACATACGGCAGGCTGAAGACCAGATGTAATTCTGAGCAGCTCCAGGCAGTGGGTCTCAAGTGGGACCTATTCATCTTTTGGGGAACGCCTGCTAATGAGCAGATCTGCCATCTTAGTAAAAACGAGTTCGTTAGGCATACATGAGACTTTAAGGCGCTCATTTCGACTCTTAAAAGAGCATTCCCCTCCTTCCATATAAAAGAAAGCACCCAATGTCCCTTCTCTCTCCATATCGTCCCAGTTTGAGTGCCAATGGAAGGATGCTGCATTTCTTAGATCTTTAATGAAGCACATTTAATAATTAAAGCCAGAGCATACTTTCCTTGGCATTTGAGAAAACTGAAATACTCTAATACAAGAAAGACAAGTCAGTCAGTCAGTCAGTCAGTCTGTCTGTCTAATCTATCTATCTATCTATCTATCTATCTATCTATCTATCTATCTATCTATCTATCTATCTATCTATCTATCTATCTATCTATCTATCTATCTATCTCTGCCTACCTGTCTAATCTATTTATTAAATGTATTTTATTATTAATAAAAATTTGAGGAGACTGCACTGCTTATGATATAATAAAAATAGAAATAAAAGAACCATTATCAATATAAAAATGGGTTAAAATGGTGGGCTCCTTGGTGATGTTGGATAACCATTTGTCTGAAATGGTATAGGGTTTCCTGCCTAAGCAGGAGATTGGACTAGAAGACCTCCAAGGTCCCTTCCAACTCTATTATTCTACTCTACTCTACTCTATTGGTGCTCTCTGAACTTGGTTGTTTTTTTGCAGACATTTCATTACCCAACTAAGTAACATCATCCATGTTAGAAGGGTGGTTTAGCAGGGAGGAGGAGAAGAAGAAGTGGGAGGGGGAGAGAGAAAGGAGAAGGACGGGAGTCCTTGGTGCTTTCTGAGCGTGGTTGTTGTCTTGCAGACATTTCATTACCCAACTAGGTAACATCTTCAGTGCATTGATGATGTTACTAGTTGGGTAAGGAAACATCTGCAAGACAACAATCACGTTCACAGAGCACCAAGGGACCTTGCGGTTGAAACCTGAGCTACAAATATATCTCTTCCATCAGATTAAAATGACAAATTATTAAGTACAGAGTTAAGAGATCCCAGGTTAGCAGCAGAGATGGTGTCTTCTTGGTCTCTGCACCAACCACTCCAGCCTGCAGCTTCTCCATCGGGCCCCCAAGCCAACCAGCAGAACCAGGTTTTAAGTCCCTTTCTGAAGACCAAGACGACGGAGGTTGATCTCACCTCCGGCAGCAAGATGTTCCAAAGAGCAGAGCCCCCGGTAGAGAGGGGTCTCCTAGACCTCACCAGCCAAAATTCCTAGGCTGATGGGGTTTGTAGTAAGCTGGTTTTGCCAGAACCATTGGCAGAGCCATAATCCTATGCTGCCTTCCTTTCAGCAACTCCGGGGAATGGCTGCTATCCTCCTCCTCCTCCTCATGTTACCAACACAAAAACCTTTGATTGAGGTTAGGCTGAAACATTTGTGTTGTAAACACATCGACTTCCCTCTTGTTAAATCAGGAAATTATTTCAGAACAGTTTGTTTTAAGACGAAGACGCACCGTTGATCTCTGCAGGTAAACCTGGGATAAGCTGTTGCAGAAAGAGGCTGAGCTTTCTGCTAACTTATACTTCCAATGAGACATGGAGTTATAAAACATACTATTTTGTCTTCTCCCCCCCCTCCTTTTGACTCCAATGTCAAGTGTGGGTGGCATAGTGATGATTTGTGGCAAGTTTAAAAAAAAGATACCGTATTTTTCGGAGTATAAGATGCACCAAGGTTTTGAAGAGACAAATATTTTTAAAAGGTTTTTAGACTCTGGAGACCTCCCCAAAACAGCCTGTTTTTCACAAAAATGGGCCTGTTTTTTTGTCAAAAAAAAAAGGGCATGAACAGTCTTTAGGAGGCTTGTAGAGTGCACCTGTCCCGTCCCCCCCAAAAGAGGAAAAAATGGGCCCGTTTTTGGGAATGTTTGGGAATGTTTATTATAATTTATAGGCCGCCCTTTTCCCTGAGGGGACTCAGGGCGGCTTACAAAACACGGGGAAGGGGGTACAAAGACAAAAGACATAAAATGCCCTTTGAAGGATAAAACAAGTACCAAGATGCAGTGCAACAGTTATGGGTGGAATCTTCCTGAGAAGAAGTTCAGAGAAT